CACATCAGTGAGGAAGCAGGAAATACCACATCGAGAATAAGACACTACTGCAGACTGACTCCAAGTACTACAGACAGTTAATACTACTCCAACAAGGAGTGCATTTGAAGCGCTATGAAACCAGAAGTCTTCGTCCCTCATGATAGATTTGAGCGCATAAGGTTTACTTTAGTGAAGAATGTGCTGATGTGCTGTGAGGATTGATTCTCGGTGTCAGCCTTGCTCACTTACTCTCCTTCTTCCCTATCCAAACTTCAGTCTACTATCAAAGTCTCATGGCTAACTGACGATCACATGCAATGTGGCGACTGAGACAACCAGACTGCCCGTCTACGCATGCAACACACAACTATCTGCGGCAACAAACACGACACAGTTCGGCGACTGCCACCACGTGTTTGAGCAAGCTGAAGCAGGCGGAATGACTTGCGCATGAATTAGTTTTAAGTTGTGGTAGACTTGGGCAGTAACAAACACACATGTCTCGTGACGGTGTGGATGACCTGGGGATGCTTGCTGTCGCTGTCTCGTGGCCGCTTCGCGGCGTGGGGACACCTGCCGTCGCTATCACATCACCGTTTCGCGGCGTGGTAGGGAGCGTGTGGATGACGGTGCGACATTAACTAACTGTCGGACCCCCTTTTCTCTTTGGTCCCTAATTAGGACTAGAATCTGACCCCCTTTGATCCGTTAAAACTTCTCCCCCTCTTCCCCTAAGTACTACTGATTGGGTGCTTGAACTACTGTTAACTCTACTTCCCTTATATTGTTGTATCTGCCTAATGCTGAATAATTTCAAACGTTCGTTCGCCTAACTTGACTTCCTGAAAACCTACTTGATGCTTTGCGTTACGATAGGCCCAACAAGGAGCACTTTTACGTTTATTTAACACACACAATGAACTAATCAGTACGTAGCGTTATCAAACAGCTATCCAGTTACGTTGAGTATCGACAAAGGTTTTAGTAAGTTGATGACGTTTTGCAACCATATCAGTCCGCATAGTATTCCGATCATTGCTTCGTCCATAGCGAAAACCTATGCTGGCTAACTGTGTTCTGTGGCTTCTGCTTTGATGATGACAACAAGGGCACAAAAAAACGAGGCCCACAAACCTGATGCAGCAGTTTGTTGACCTCCTTTATTTGAACCAGTATTTGCGGTTCCAAGGCCACAGAGTACTTCTGCGCCATATCATCAATGACATCGTTCAGCATCTGCT